AAGAGGATGGATTGAATGAGCAAGAGTTGTTGAGACCATGATTGGAAAAAGCACAGGGACAAATAGCCAAACTAGTGGAAACACATGAACTATGAACCAATAGCTGAGCAGCCACCAACTGGATCAGGCCCTCTGGATAAGTTAGACAGTCGATTAGCTTGAACTATTTGGGAGGCCCCCAGGCAGTGGGACCGGGACCTGTCCTTAGTGCATGAGTTGGCTTTTTGGAGCCTGGGGCCTGTGCTGGGACACTTTGCTCAGCCTGGGTGAAGGGAGGAGGAGACTCGACTTTCCTCAACTGAATCTACCAGGCTGGGGTGAATCCCCAGTAGAGTTCTTGCCCTGGAGGAGATGGGAATGGGGGGAGGGAAGTGATGGGGGGGGAGTGAGGACAGGGGAATCCATGGCTGATATGTAAAATTAAAAAATAAAAAATAAAAAAGAACAGTGATGTTCTCATCTCATGACTCATGTTCCTCCCTTCCTACCCATAGACTCTGCTATTGCAACCGAGGTGGCCAGCTGTGTAACTTCAGCCCCGGATCAATGCTTATATGAGTCGGATCACTTCCTCTGGCCACCTGCTCAAGCTGTGGCAGATTCCTGGGAAGAGAGCACATGCTAAGAGCTTAAGAGTTCCATGACCATAGTGGTACCCTGGCAAATGGTGTGGGTAGAGAGGGGCAGGAGAGGGTTCTTCAGTGTGATGTAAGTACCTGAAATCTATATTTGGCTACATCTCTTGGACTGCAAAGCTTAAAATATTTACTACTTTGCTACACTGTCAACTTGACAGAATCTAGAATTGCCTAGGACATAGATCTCTGGATGTATATGCAGACATTTTCTAGACAGGCCACCTGAGGTGGGAAGGATGTAGTAGGTACCGGTACCACCCCTAGGGGCTAATACCTCAAGGTCATAGGAGGACCAGGGACCCACTACAGGAAGACTACCTTAAATGTGAGTGGCACTGTTCCAGTGGGCGGGGTCATGAACTAAGTAAAAAGGAACCACGCTGAGCACCAGCCTTCATTTCTTTCAGCTCCATGATGGATAACCCAGTGTGGCTAGTCACTTACAGATGCTGCCTCCAGAACTTCCCTGTCAAGAACTTCACTGTCAGTCAAAATAAATCCTTTCCCCTCCTAACTCACGTGTGTCAGGTATTTCGTCCCAGCAGTGAGAAAGGTAGCTGACACGTCTGCCAAGTTTTGATCCAAAGAAGTCACCAAGAATTATGACAAAGTTGTGTTTGAGTGGATGAAAGTGAGATATGACAGGATGTCTTCAGTAATTAGTGAAATCACATTGAGAATAAACCCTAAATTATGAAAAAGAGCAGTGGATAGAACAGCTCTGTGTCTGCCCCCCTTCATGTCAGAGTTTTCAATATTTTCAGAAATCTTGGAAGGAGAATGACCTAGAGGTGGCAAAGGTTATTGCTAAGAATAAAATAGGATTCCAACATGCTTCTAAAAATTATTGCCTTGTCATTATCACTATGGAGGTATAAATGGTTATTGTGCTGAAGTAGAATTTAATAGACACTTGAAAACTATAAAAAGATTAAGCACATAATCAATAGTGTGCCATCAATGTTAGATTTTTAGCAAGTTTAATACAGTTCTCAGACCAGCTTCTCCTATGAAGCTGTTCCAAATGTCCTTGGTTTCAACTCTAACGTCTTGCTCAGAAGTAAACTTTCCATGCAAATTATTCATTGCCTGAAGAAACTGAGTTCGCAGGATGCTAAAATTAGAACTACCATCCAAGGGATTGTTATTGAATATTTCAAACAACTGATGCTTGCCTCCATTGCGGTCATGACAAGAAACAGGAGATGACAAAGGAATAATTTTTAATAGATGGCTATTTTTTTTTCTGCATCATTTTTACTTTGAAAATGATCTCCACAGGCAGAGTCCTGTCAAGGGGAGGCCTGCATGAAATGGTGAGGAGCAGTGAAGTTCAGTCCCAAACACCCATCCATTCTTGTCTGACAGTGTGACATTAGGTAAGTTACTATCCTTTTGAAGCAAAGTTTCCCAAGCCACACAACGAAGATGATATTACTAACACGTGTCGGGTCATTGAAGAGAGTCGAGGTCATGTGGGCCAAAGTTCTCAGCACTATTTCTGGTTCACTGAGGCTCATACACCACTCTTCCAGGGCTATGCCTGTTGTGGATCCATTTACAGATGAGTGAAAAAGAAATATTATACAAAAATGTCTCAAATGGAAATTATGGATTGTTTAACCAATAAGTAGCAAAAGCAAACTATTCCTTATAAGAAGAATTCAAAATGGTGTAGAGAGAAACCTGTCTGTTTATGCTCATCTATTCTTTGTATTAGGTCAATGAAACAAAATCCCCATAAAGAGCACCAGCATCTAAAAAAAAAAAAATTAAATGCCCTATCCAACCAACTTTATACATTTGAAAGTTAAATAATTAGAAACTCATATTAAATTTTTAAAAGTCACCCAGTTAGGTAAAGGCAGGCCTCTCTCACTGTTACCTGGCAACACAAGGAACACTAATAAGCTTTCTCCCTTGTTGGGTCTCTCTTTTCCTCCCACATGAAAACACCTTTCTCTCATATGATTACACAGGGACATTGTGTCCTTCTCTTTCTCTGCATGAACCTTGCTTTCTTCATCTTTAGTACTTGACTGTGAGTCAAGAACACTGGTTCAGAGCCAGCATGTCTAGAAAGAATTATGACCTATCTATTTTTGTCTGCTTTTTAACTTCTGCAACAAGATCTACTCTGGAATGTGAGCACGACTGGGCATTTACTGTGTTGTTTTCTGTGGCATCACTTGTTACTCACCTGCCATCTGCCACTATCATCTATTGCATTGTATATGCCTATTCCTGTGCTCAGGGGAGGAAGGGGCCAGGCCCACGGCATTCTCTACCTATGAGTTCCAGGAATGGGCCCTAAACTCTGCCTGTGGTAATGGTGTCATAAGCCATCAGTACAAAAGCCAGTTCTGAGTTTTTAAATAGAACTCTAGGGATGAGTAAGATACCACTCCAGTGCTCACCTCGCTAGCTCCTCACACTACTCCTCAACTCCCCCAGAACCTCACCCACATGGGAACAGCAAATGGAGGCTCAGACAGAGCTTTAGCCACTCTGGAGCAACATCCACTCACCTTCCTAAAAGGTGCACATCATAAGATGTTTGAATGATGTGTGCGATGCCAGAGACAGCAGCCGACAGCAGCAGCTTTGGGCGCTGGGTGAACAGTGCCTCCTTCTCAAAAGCAAACTGGAGCTCCTAAGAAGAAAGACACACACACACACACACACACACACACACACACACACACACACACACACACACACAAAAAAAAAAAAAAAAGTCAGGGGAGAAAAGCATCATCCAGAAATTGTTTAAGCTCTTTAAGCCAGACTTGGGACAGAAAGAGAACACGGGTTCTGCCCAAGACTATGTGAAAGACAGACAACATACCAACATGGTACTTGAGTTAACAGAGGGAAGAAAAGCAGGCTAGGGACACAGAATGCAGACTGACACTTCCTGAAAAGGGCCAGAAAGTTTCAGAGAGAAAGTGTCCCTTAGCTACAGAGCTGGGGCAAGATCCAGATAGAGACAGAAACAGCCAAGGGCAACTGCTCCACAGCAGTGTGACCCAGCACCTCCAGGGAATGAATGCCAGTCGAAGAAGAGTCGGTTCCTTTCCCCTGACCCAAACTTGTGTTACCTCTCTGACATTCACTCACCCCAAATGAAAAGTAGAACCATCTGCACTAGGCCCTCTAAATGAGGGTGACGATTGTGCAGCTTGAAGTGATTGTGAGTCCCTTGGCAATAGGACCAAGATTCATCCTAAGTGCATGAACTGGCTTTTTTAGAGCCTGTTCCCTATGGTGCCATGCCTTACTCAGCTTTGATGCAGTGGGGAGGGGCTTGGGCCTGCCCCAATTTGGTAAGCCAGCCTGTGTTGAGTACCCAAGGGAGGGCCTTACCCCCTATGAGGGGTGGGTGGGAGTGGGATGGGGAGAGTTGGGGGGAGTAGGAGAAGGGGAGAGAGGGGAAAATGGGCAGTATGGAAAATGGAAAAATCTTCAAATAAATAAGTAAACCTTGAGAGAGAGAGAGAGAGAGAGAGAGAGAGAGAGAGAGAGAGAACCATTTGCTTGTTGGCCTTACTTCAATTAAGAAGAGAAAATTCCACCGGTCATGCATGGGGCTGCCTCGTAGTCCAGGGTACAAGAAGAAGAGATCAAGCCCATCAAAGCCATGTGTTCTCAGGAAGAATACGACTGAATCAACAAACTCTTCACGGCTGGCAAGTGTGGACAGCATAGTGGTGAACCTGCAGGAAGTCCAGGGTAAGGCAAAGAACATTGTCTTCAAAACCGGTGTCCTCGGAGGCCCTAGCGAGGTCTCCCATACAGCAGCTGAAGTTGGCACAAGAGGCGAAGTGCTTTCAAGAAGAATTCCCACCCCTGGCTCTCTCATTTTCTGGCTTTTTTTGATATTTTTGTTTGTTTTCTTTTCCATAGCAAAACACTTAGAAGTAATTATTGCTTATCAGAGCTGAACTTTAAGCAAATCCAGATTAATCCTGTGAAAAAATGATTATAAAATAAGTAGACTTAGAGATAAATGGACCTGGATTCCATTGTCTATTGGCCACCACTCAGCTGGGCCCTCTTGAGGGGTGAGGACACCTGGAAGAAACTGGGCAAGTTCCTTAACACTTGTAACTCTTGCTTTCTTTTCCTACTAATTTGAAATATAGCCATTTTACAAGAAATCACTCATCTATACATATATATGTACATGAATACAAGCATACATACATGCATACATACATGCATACGTACATACATGTGGCATCTCATTTGGCTTTAGGCTCACAGCAAGTCAAAGGAACAGAGACGAGGCCTGGGGTTGGACAGAGCTCGTTGTCGGATACCTCACACCTGGAACCCTCCATCCCACCTGGAGGTCCCTTACAAGGAGCATCCTACACCACACCAGGCTATCAAGTCTCCCTCCAAGGCTGGAAGGCAGACTCTGGCCCAGACCTTAGCTAGGAAGCGAGGAAGCTGTCCTTCTGAGAATATGGAGGTGGTCTGTCATTCCCTACTGTATCTTGACGGGGACACTACCAAGGGCTGCCACTTCACGAAGGATGCGATCTGTGGGTCCCCGCAATGGCGCCAAAGGAGCATTTGCTGCTTCTTCATCTCTATCACTGCCAGCTCCGTGCAGAGTGGGAAAGCCCAGGGCCCGTGAGGTTTGGGGGTTACTCTTCTTGTCATATATATATAACTCCTCTCTTCAGAAACAAAATCCCTGCCTCCAACAAAAAGAGTTAAAGACTCATTTGTGGGTGTCCCGTTTTACCTGTTACTCATTTCTCGCCCTAAGTTCCACATCCGATGCCTATTTTCCCTGATATTTTTTCCTATGATTTTGTATCTTGTGTTTTGGTTTCTTTTGTTGTGTGGTGTGTGTGTGTGTGTGTGTGTGTGTGTG